GCATTTGATAGGCAGAAATCTTATGCAGATTAAAGGAGGAAGGATATATAGTTTGAGGTTGGAGATCAGGTCTTTTTAAAAGTTTCACCCTGAAAGAAAGTATTGAGATTCGGGCGTAAGGGTAAATTGAGTCCAAGATTTATTGGACCATTTCGTATCTTGAAAAGGGTAGGACCTGTTGCATATCAGCTTGAGTTGCCTTTTGAGCTCAATCGTATTCATGATGTCTTTCATGTATCAATGTTGAGGCGATATCATCCAGATCCAGATCACATCATTCAGGTTGAGGATGTAGACCTGAGACCTGATTTGTCATATGAGGAAGAGCCCATTCAGATCTTAGAGAGAGATGAACGAGTTCTTCGGAATAGGCGTATTCCAATGGTCAAGGTTCAGTGGAGTAATCGAGGTCCCTCAGAAGCTACTTGGGAGACATTGGAGTCAATGGAGGCTCAATTTCCTCATCTATTTTCATAAGGTAAATTTCGAGGACGAAATTTCTTGTAGAGGGGGAGAATTGTAACAACCCGATTTTCAAAATAATATTTAATTGAAATTAGAGGGTTTAATTGTGAAAATTTGGCAAAAATTGGGACTAAATTGAAAGATTTTAAAACTTGGAGCTTGTTTTAAAGTTAAAGAAAATTCAGGGACCAAGCCCTGAATTTAACCTTGGAGTGTCGGCAGGCAATTGTTATATGCGTGATTTCTGTTTTGAAAAACAGAAATCAATTTCACAAATCCTTCCTCACGCACACAACTTCCAAACTCGATTCCGACGCCGTCTGAATTCCGATCGTTGTTTTGAAACCACCGTTGTGTTCATCATCGAGCGAGGAACAAACCCTTCAAATTAATTGAAGCGAAACGCGGCCAAACGTCGGGAATTTCCAGTCAAAGTAGCGACGGTTTTGTTAGCTCAATCGCCGAGGAAATCTTAAATTCACCGCTGATCGTTGCTTCGTTTACGACACCTCCCGCACCATCGTGTTCCTTGTGCCGTTCCGAGTTCACCGGTGTCAACCTTGTCCGCCGTAGACGGCGGCGCGTGAGGAGGTGGTGCAGTCAAAGATTCGGCCGATTTGAAATCGAGCTCTCCGTCGTTCAAAAATTTGAACCGATCGTTGTAAGTATCTTGAAATCGCTCAAAATAATTTTTAGAAATTTTTTCGGGATTTTTAGGGCCCCGGAGGACGCCTCACGCGCCACACGCGCCGCCGCAGGGCGAGTGGCTGCTGGAAACCGGTTTAACCGGTTTTCAACCGGTTCTGACCGGTTTCAACCGATTCGAACCGGTTTTGACCGGTCTGACTCGACCCGACCGTTGACCCGACCCGACCGTTGACCCGACCCGACCGTTGACCGTTGACCGTTTACTTTCTTTGACCAAAACTTTAAATGGCTTTGACCGACCCTTAAACGACCGTAAATCTTTTCCGAGTATACCTATCCTGATAATTTTCGACGTGCCAAATCCATTTCCGCAGTCCGTTTCGCCAAATTCAAACCCGAAGGTCTCCAAATCGACGGTCAAAGTGGTTGACTTTGACTTTGACCAAGAATATGAATTTCTGAAAAGTCATACTTTATATTTTTCGACGTCCTGATTCCGTTTCCGCAATCCGTTTGGCCAAATTCAGACTCAAAATACCCCAAATTGATAGTCAAACTCGAAAAATGCTTATATACTTAAGAAGACTAGCTTTGAACAATTAAATAGGATTTGGGACTGATAGATTATTATTGTTTGAAGGTACAAGAGACTCTCCGGATCGTTCGACAGCTCGGCCCAGCTCTTCTAGATCAGTTAAACCACGTGTGCCAGTATTCACCCGTTCGAAAATTGTAGCAGAGCGTGGTGAAACCAGCAATCAGTAAATTTGCTATTTGAACTTATTGTCGAGGTGTGTTCCCTACTTATTATTGAACTGTTTTATTGGTTTTAATATGTGGTACACCGAATTCATTGGCTATTGTTTTATGGATGCACCAATTTAATGTGACAATTTATGGAATATGGATGCTATCTAATTTTTGTTTTGAAATGGTATATGATTACCATGTTTTTGGATTTATGGAATTTATGTCACGGTGCAATTGAATTTTGGAATTTGAAATACGATGGAATAGCTCTGATCAAGCTAACTGGGCCTAATGTGACTCTTGAGGGCCCCAAGATGTTTCATTAGGTCGGCTTTCCTTTGCTGTGTGCTTAGGGTAAGCTATATGGACTTATTGACTTGGGCTTAAGGATACAAGCTTCAGAGCCTATCCTTAAGTCGGCTTTCTTTTTGCTATGTGCATAAAGTAAGCTATATGGAAAATAATTTTGGGAACTACTGATGGTGTACCAGAAAAGGGTTTAAACTATGATTTTCAAAAAGTTAAACTCTTTTACGAATTTGTGAGATTACTGGACTATGATTTGTACCTATTGTGATTTTATGGAAATGTTGGGACACACTGAGCCTAGCTCACCTTTTGAAAATGTTTTCCCCTTTCAGATACTGTTGGTTAGATACCTTGGTTCGAGCACTTGGAGGATCAACATATCTCTTGAAGTAAATCAGATTGTAATGTTTTTATCTGGCAAGTTGACTTTATTTTGGTGACATGGACCTTATTTTAAAATATCAGATTTTATAATGATAACTCTTTTGCTAATACTGCTCGGTTTATTGTGATTTTGAATTTGAAGACATGTTTTAAATTAAATTATTATTTATTTGTACTATATTTATGAGTTGGATTTTGATAGTATAATTTGTTTATAATTTCATGTTATTTATAATGTGATTTTATATTGATGGAATAACGGTTGCGAAAAATGTCTTTAATAATCATAATGTGATCCACTAGACTTAGTCGAAACGCATAGGCCGGGTCTAGGGGGTTACAAATTATGTGAAGCCCAAACAACCCATATGTTAAATATAAACCTAGTGTTTTGTTTATTCCAGCTTATGAAACCACTATACTTTGTCGGTTGTTTTTATCCGTCAAGACTCAAGAGTATGGAATTGAGTGCATGTTATAATTAGTGTGCATAAACAAGGCTTATTATGGACAAGTTTCTGCTAGCATCATGTGATGCATCAAAATAAAAATTCAAATATTGATTATCAGATCTACCTAATCTGTCGATTTATAATTAACTATGATAATGTTTGTAACTGACACACACTAAGAGCCATTATAAATAGGCTTAATATTAAAATAAGTACCCAAATTATGCATTTTTTCTTGAATAGGTACCTAAAATATTTTTTGATTCATCCAGGTGACTAACGTTACCCATTTAGGTGTTCGGGCCTTCAACAACGTTAATTTCTCCCGTTAAGTGACACATGTCACAATCTGGTATTTTAAAATTTATTTTTTAAAAATATTATTATATCTATATAAAAAACCTAATTTCTCTTAAATTATATATAAAAAAATTCCCAAAATAATTAAATTCCCCAAATCCTATCCTTAACTTGTTGTCGCTACCCTTTTCGGCCACGATCACCTCTGATGTTGTCCCTGCCATCCTCCTAGTCATACGTCGTCGGAGTTGCTGTTGATTGGCCGTTGAGATCGCGATTTTCATCCTAGGGTTCACGGGGTACAACAAGACCATTCGCCGTCGATCAGTCACGATTTCATGGGAGGGTTTGGTCGCCAGGGGAAGATGAGGTCGGGTAGAGCTTCGTTAACGGCAAATGGTGACGATCGACGTGGGTTTAAGGGTTGAAAAGTAGGTTTTCAAAGTTTTAGGTTATTTCAAAATGTTTATTTTTTTCATAAAAAAATAATGGCGTGGTGAAAGGGACTCGATATTTTCAGTCCCCTCTGCTTTGTGGTCTAGGCATGACTAAGGTTGGGAACTAGACTATTATATTTCTTCAACTTGGAAAGGTAAATCTCTCTTAACCTCCATCATGAAGATTGCATGATGTGTTTTCACTTAGAAAGTTTGAGAGGAGAGAAATAGACGCAAATTTCAAGGAAAAACTCGAACTGTTGAAGATTTGCTTGGTTCTATTAAAGAAATAGTTGGTGCTCAACATAGGAATAGAGAACTCAATAGGCTTGACAATGTTAATATGCTTCTTTGTAACAGTTGGAATATAGGCTAACAATTTTTGTTGTATATGGGCTGTCTTTGATCCTTCATTGGGATTTCTTTTTGTAAAGAACTCTTATTTGGATAATAAAATCTTACTTATCCAAAAAAAATATTAACTCATATTTTTCCATTAACAATAAATTATTTTAATTAAAATGTCAACGTGAATCCCCCTAAAACACCCTTCTCAACTTGTTTATGTACATAATAAGTGTTTTAAGGGGGGAACCCAGTTTTGTATTTTTAACTGAAATAATTGACAATATAACTAGCTGAACTAACGTTGACATTACAAAAGTAGAAAGACCATATTATCTCGAATAGAAGTACACGGGAGTAAATACAAACTTTGAGCATAATAGAGTGACCAAAACCAAAATTTGACCCAGAAATGAAACGAGCACAACTCGATTAGAACAGTTTTAATTACTAGTTCATATGAAGTACACAGCCTGCAGAAAGAGAATCCATGTTTTCTGGCAAAATATGGAAGATGAGTTACTGTTAACGTTGCATATATTTTCGGACAAGCAAACGTTAATTATTCGATCTTGTTCTTGCTAGATTCTGAAACCAAACAAACATGTGTCTTGGTTTTCTTTCTCTAAATTCAGATGAAATAAATAAATAGATTTACCATTTCAGAGTTCAGACCACCACAGATGGATAGTAGATGGTGCTGCAGAACACGTAACACGAGGTAAATTCTGCTACTGTAAGTAAATTACACAATATTATATTAAGAAAGCTGATAAATTATATATCCATTTATGTTATACACTGCGTGCATGCATGGGTAATATTTTCAAAACCATCAGTCCAAATAATTACTAATGTTAACTGAAACTCGCCAGAGAGAACGTTTTTAATTTGCCCGATCTAACACAGCCATTGAAGAAACGAAAACCAAACCAGATGAAATGAGCTAAATGGAAACGAAACACGGACTATACTAAGAGAAGACTGAGGATCATCATGCAGCGGTGGTGGTGGCGGCGGGGGGGACGGCGGCGGTGGGATTAGATGGGTTTTTCTTGGCTAGATTGTGCTTGTTGTTGTGCATCCAGACCTTTAGGACTCTTCTCTTGACACCAATCTCTTGGCAGAACTGTTGCACCACTGATTCTTCTTGCTTTTGGATTTTCCACCCAACTTTCTCTGCAAAGTTGAGCATTTTGTCCTTCTGTTCCTGTGTGAACTTTGTCCTAAACCTTTTCTTCATGAGCTGGAGTGGTCTGTTTCCGACTACCCCATCACCTTCTTCCGGCTGCTCATCGGACCCTGAAGGGAGGGATCCCATGTTGCAGGACATTATCATTTGGTGGGGCGTTGGTGCTGCTGATCTCGAGTGTATGAGAGTACCCGCAGGGTACCCTAGAGCCTCGGGTGGTAGGACACTCTTGTGGTGGTGACCTAAGAGGAGTTTCCTCCCAACTCTGCCGGTCATACCATGCAACGGATAACAATCAAATGACGACGGCTCGCCTTCCACTTCTTTCCTGTGGAAGTTCCTATGGCAGTTGCAGGCGGAGCAAATCAGTGCTTCGATTGTACCCTCTTCACCGCTCGGCATGAACTCGCCGCACCCATCGGTGGCATTTCCTCCCATGGCGGCCGCATGGTTCTTCAGGCACTCACGGTACCTCACCGGTTTCTTGTAGGGCACATGGTCTTCTATGGACAAGGAGGAAGGGCAATTGGAAAGGACTTGGGGTGCTGATGAAGGTATGATATGGTTATGGGGTGGAACATGATCATGATGTATCACATGTCCATGCCCATGCCCATGTCCCCCACCATATGTACTGTTCAAAGGAATTGGGATCTCCCCTTCTTGACTGGAAAGTTCCATTTCCAGGTAAATATATTAGTAGTATTTTATTAGGGACAAGAGACCATGCCTAGGACTGTGCTCTTAATACTTGGCACTGAGTCTGAGAAGCCCTTCTTTCATGAATACCCAAATCCCCATAATAAAAACTTAATAAAGAAAAGGAGACAAAGGAGAGGATGACCCACTAAAATGTCCAAAACAGGTCTACTGATAAAAGAAGAGAAAGAAGCAAAATTCAAAGTGAAGAGCTAAAACACCAATATAATAGTGTTCCAAAGTGAGTGCAACTGTGTTGACTCAGTGTTGGTCTCCCCAAGGAAAGGAAAGATCAGTGTGACTCAGTGTGGTAATACAACAACTTGTTAAGAGAATTAAGAGAAAAGAAGGGTGGTGAAGAAGAAGAGAGTGTTTGGGAAGAGGTATAAAGAGGTGCTTATAGGGTTTTCAGTGGGAGGTAAAAGGAAGAAGAAGAAGACAGAGAGAAAGACAAGAAGATTTTGCTTTGTTGCAGACAAAAGAGGAATTGAGTCGGTTTAAGTGAAGAACTCAGAAAAATAAAGGAAAATACGCCCAAAAAAAGAAGTGGGGGTGTGCTTGCTTTGCTTGCACTATCAGCCATTTAGAGAGCAGTGTGTCAGAATGGACAGACCATACTGGAATGAATGAGAGAGAGAGAGAAAGAAATACATTCAATCAAAACATACCAAAAAAAAAAAATCTTTGCTCAAATCAAACCAACTTATTTAGTTCAAGTTTTGGGATAAATTTACATTTTGATACCTGAATTTCATATTAAAGTTTAATTTGATACCTAAGTTTTTCCTCTAATCATGTATCTAAACTTAGCCTCAAAGTTCAAATTAGTATCTATAAGTACTTGAACTTGTTTTACTGGTTCAAATTAATGCATGAACTTGGTTTAATAGTTTAAATACGGGGAGAAGTTAAGATTGAACTATGAAGGAACAAGTTTACTTAATTTAAAAATAAATAAAGTCTTACAAAGTAGTTAAATTATAAGAATTAAAAAATTTAGGATTTATCAATTTTAAAATACAAAGCTCCTAAACAGTAATTAAGCCAAACAACTTTATGGTCAAGGTTAATTTTTATTAATTTTAAAATTGTTAGTTTCTTAAAAAATAATTGTAATTTCAAAACTACTTGTAATTTAAAATATAATTACACCATCAAAGTTTGGAGGAGATCATTGGCATTATCTCTCCCATCCATAACATGTGATTGTTCCTGTTAAAATAAAATATTTATTATAAGTGCTAATTTATACTAAAAATAAATTTTAGATGTTAATTTAAATTGATAGAACAATTTAAACATTTAATAGCATAATTAAATTTACATATTAAATTAGATAAAATAAAATAAAATATTAAATTGAATCTTAAAATGAATTTTTAAATATTAATGGTATATTTACCTAATCATTTTTGTATAATAAAATCCTAAAAAATATTGAACTGTTTAATATTTTCATTCAGGCACCAGCATAAGCTAACGCTCATCTTTGTCTAATCTCATGTTGGTGAGCAAGACTCGACTCGAGATTTTTTCGACTCGACTCGATTTGAGAAAATTTGACTCGTAATGACTTCGAGATGTAATTTCATAAACTCGACTCGACTCTAAAAATTTCAAGTCCAAATCGAGTTGTAAAATACAACTTGAATAACTCGAAATTTTTTGTAATCAGTGGATGAATTTTCAAGTTTGATTCTAGTCCCTTAATTCTATATGATTTATGTATATCACATATAAAATAAATATATATGTATTGTATTTTTTTTATAAAAAATCACACATAAATGAATTGTTATATATATGTATTTTAAATTTAACACCCCCAACCCGTACCCGACCCGGATACGAATACGATGTGTCACATTAACATTTCAAACCATTTACTTGTACAAAATAGTGAATAATTTTAAAACTTTTACTAAATACAAATGAATAATTACATAAAATACAATAATATGATTTTACAAAACCAATTAGAACATATCGAATTCAAATCTTAATTTACATGCCAACCACAATCATATTACAAAATACATACTATTCAGTTCTTTTCTGATCTGATATTTAGAAAGGAGAAATTGACCTGTCTTGCTTAACTTTTATCAATCTTCCTCTTCTCGGAACCTATGTGTGAAACAATCACACGCTAAGGCGTTGACTTAGTGAGGCATATAAAACATATAATAAAACCATAGAACATTTCATATAACATAATGCATACATGCACATATATCATCATTATCAACATTGACATCATTATCATAATCTCTATCATTATCATTAACCAATTTATCATATGATCTTGTACTTATCATTTTTGTATATCATATAACACATATATCATTTCATAAAGAAACACACATAACATCATATAATTACTATAACACATTTCATATCACCAAAAGCATATACATCACATTTATTGTATTTGTCATTATCTCTTTATTAACCCATGTACACATGTAATTCAGTGTAAACAATAATAACATGATATCATATAATAATGCAAACACTTTTGATATCTTTTATAAGCCCATGTACATTGCTAAGAACTCAAAGTATGCGAGTACATTGAGGTTGTGCACATAAGTTGTCACCACAGCTCGTATAAATGCACCGAAGTGCCACGTAGAATTACACCGAAGTGCCGCGTAGAGTTGCACCGTTGTGCCATATAAAATGTCCATAAGGATCACATAGAATTTCCTTAAGAATCATATACATATGCCAAGGACCAAGTATGTGTCTTAAAGGACATCATAAATGTTCCAAAGAATACATATATGTCCTGAAGGACCGCGTAGACCCTCGACTCTTGGCATGCCAACTATACCCCTAGCTCTCATATCACATAACATGGACATTATTATTTATAACATTTCACATCACTTGTATCATATAAACATATAATCTCATAACTCGTTCTCATGTAGCTTGTATATCATTCTTGTATGATATCATAGATCCTTGTATAATATTCTTGTCATATAACCCATATAACATATATTACATGTGCATGTAATCACATAGATTGTATCATATAACTTATATCATTTCTCATGTGTTCATGTAAACACACATGTCATATCTTGTTCACATATGTTCATATATACATCATATAACAAATAGAATAACATATAAATTTATACATGTATTCATATACATACTTTTATATAATTCGTATATCAATGCCCTATAACTTATCTCACAGTTTTACATAATCACTTATCTCACATTATAATTTAGTTTCATATATTTACTTAGTTCAATTTCACATAGCTTGTTACCTATATATATATTCTCATAACTTATCATCAAATAGATCACATAACATTTTCCTATAGCTTCATAGATCTTTACCATATGACTCATATATTATATGTTCATTTAAGCCCATAACTCTTCCCCATATATCTTATCTTACATGTTCGTATAATCACTTATGCCAATGTCTCCTAATTCCTATACTATTCTCATATTGTCCTATAGGTCAATGTTATTTAACTTATCTCACTTTTCATTCATAAGTTGGTTATACCAGTTCCTATATATCTAACTCATGTAATTTATATCATGTTATTATATCTTCAACTAGACCTATATCCACATGTTCATAATTACATAGCTTATATTCTTTCTCATATAATCACATATGTCCATGTCGTTTAACTTATCATTTATATCTATACCACCTAGTTTATATCACTTTCTCTTGTTATCACATAAGTCCTTGCTATTTTACATAGTTCATGATCCTATAGTCACTTATGTTAATACCACATATCACATATACATGTAATCATGTAAATTATGTCACATATAATAACATATGACACATATACCCATTTTCATGTATTCATGCACACATAAGAATTCCATCAATCACAAATCAAATAATATTTTAGGAGTCACTTCTTACCATAGTAACTCTGTCACTGGCTCATCGCAAGCCAATGTTGGTTCAATAAAATAAGTACAAATTAAATTGCACTCACCTTGGCCTCACTTAGTTCCCAATTCCACTTCTAATATTTCTTCTTTGAATCGAATCCTAATTCGTTGATCGTTCCAGAATTTGCTTATATCTGATGTCTACATAATCATTCATGCAAATAAGTATTCCAAATAGTAATCTTTTATTTCCTAAACTAAATGAAAGACTACTTTATTTCTTATTTAAGGTAGGTATCGGTACACTCCATAGTGTATCGGTACATTCCTTAACTGGTGTATCGGTACACTGCCTATGTATCGGTACACAAATTACATTCGATGTTTTCCATTTCAAGGGGTGCATCGATACACTTCCTGTGTATCAGTACACTTTGAACACTTTCTGAAAATTTGCCCTTGATGTATCGGTACATATTGAATGTGTACCGATACACACCAGCCCAGAATTCACATTTTATGGACGAAAATTACCAATGTTTTTAAAACCGGACCGGACATTGAACCTGTGAAGGTACTGGTTCACTGGTTCAACCGAGTTCAACCACGGTTGAACCGGATTTTATATAAAATAATAAATTTTTTTAATTTTACATAATATTCAAAGCAATATTAATATATATGTAACAGTTTTTTTAAGTTTACAATATTAAAAGGTATAAAAATATCACAAGTCATAACATGTATAAATGAAAAACCATAAAATCAAGTGAAACAAAATGATTCAAATCAACTATAACATAATATTTAAGGTAAAACATATTAAATAATAAATATAATTATATAACTATAATCAAAAAAATAAAATTGGGGTTTAAAAAATCATAACAAATGATGTCATTTGGTTTAATTGTTTAAAAAAAACAATCACACATGGCTAAGAAACATAGAAGAGTATCCCAAAAGTTTAAAGAGTAAAAATATGAGAACAAAACAATCCCACATGGCTAAGAAACATAGAAGAGCATCCAACTTACTTCTATAAATAATAGAGGTAATTTGACATTCAAAATCATGGAGCCTTTTGGTGAGCACAAAGCGAACTATTCTTTCGCTTCAATTGAGCTCAAATTTTAGGCTTCAATTGAGCTCAAATTTTAGGCTTCAATCGAACTTCTAAATTTTTTTTTGAGTTCGACCCTTTTCGATTTCAAGTTTTAATATTATATTTCGAGTTGATAATTTTTAGCTCGTGAGTTTTTGAGTCGAGTTGAGCTTACTTTTAAAGTTTTCGAGTTCGAGTCGAGCTCAGCAATACTCGAATTTGACTCGGCTCGTTGAACAAACGACGTTGTTTGGTTTAATTTTTTTTAAAGAAAAAAAGTGAACTGGCGGTTCAAACCGATTTTGCCGGTTTTCCCGGTTTTCAACCGGTTCTTCTGGTTCTTTACCGGTTCTGTGCTAATCCGGTTTTGGGAGTTAACCGGACCGGAC